AGTTCTCTCTGATTCTTGACTCAATCTTTTAAATATTATCCATTAGGAAGGATATTCCTGAGATAAAAGAGATATTAGATGATTTGTTCCAAATGTTTTCTCCTCAGAGTCTGTGAGGGTTTAAATATATATTGTTTATTTAGTTTGTTTATCGATTTAGACTAGAATAGAGAATATTAAAGGTCCTACTGGAATACAAGCTCTGCGAAGGCAGAGACGGTATTTACCTTTCTCTCTGAAAACAGAGGCTGGCTCATGGCGGGCTCCCAACAAATACCTGTTGAGGGAACAGCTGTGACTGTCCATTTCCCTTACAGACCAATCCTTTGTCCGTGGCCCTTGCCACAGTGCTTGGCTTTGGACCTCTCTCGTTGACCCTGCCCAGTGCCCCATGCCCGCCCAGTGCCCTCCTGGATAATGACCTCGCTCCCCACCAGCCTCCACATCTCACCCATCTACCTCCTCACTGTCTCACCTGCCAAAACCTCACCTCAGGTATAATGTATTTAGAAAACATCAAAATAAGCCAATATGAGCCTCAAATAAGAAGTGGAAGAGAGGAGGTGGGAATCCACCAGAGCATCAGGTGCCAGGTCACATGATTATTTTGTACCAGGCACTATACAAATCATTCAAATCCTTTATCTGTCCCCTAAATTTCATATTTTACCAACATGGTCAACAACAAAACTGAGAGTACTTTAAGATCATGTAGCTGGCAAGCCAGAGTCAGAATCTAACCCCAAATTGGTCTGACTCCAAAGTTGCCGGGATTCGTTGCCCTTTGCATTGGTCAGTGACTTTCCTCCAAAGGATGTTTAGGGCCACAAGACAAGGAAGGCAGTGAGGCCAGGGGGCCAAGGGGAGATGGGTGCACAGAAAACCTTTCCCAGGGACCCTGGAAGGTGTTTGTTCCACCTATGCATCCATGGACCCTACTCCTTAGTCCTCAGTCTCACCTTTCCTTCAAACCCTCGTCCTTCCTACAGTTATATTTCAGGGTTAGTGTTCTGTAGTAGAGCACATAATTGAAAATCTGCCTCACACATTCAAATCCAGATTCTAGGTTTTGTGGTAAGAACTACCTTTCTCCCTATTCCCATTTTAAAAATAAATAAATAAAGTAACAAGAATAAAAATGCCATTTGAATTCCTTACCCAGTTTATTGAAATTAAAACTAGCATCTTGGGTACCAATTGCCTGGAGAAGTTCATGCAGCTGGTATCTGCGTGAATTATGTTATAGGAAAACAAGACGCAACATGACACCTGAGGATGTGTGTTCATTTCGGGCAAAGGGTTCCTTCATAGTCACATCCTCCCTTAAACAGATTCCATGAGCTGACCTTTGCAAATGTCTCCTGCCAGCCTAAAAACCAGAAGTGAGCCTGTGTGGTCAGGGGGCCACACTGAATAGTTAGGCGGCGGCAGTCCACCACTTCTCTGTCAAAGTACAGGGAAGCATTCGCCTGATCTGGTGAGCAGCCTGAACACACGGAAGCCCTCTGGGTGAGCCGCAAGCCAGGAGCTTTCTTCCACTTTCAGTGGCATCCGGGCTACTATAAAGATGCAATCAAAGAATCAGGTCATTGCTGACGGCTTTGGTCTCACACTCATCCAACCTAAAGAGTGGAAACACAGATGTGAGCTACTATCTTCTTGCTCGTAACAGAGCCCAAGAGCCCCCACTACACTGGTGTTTTGCTCAGCTGCCAAATCTCAAATGTGTCCAGGAGCTGTATGAGGAAAGCAATGCTAGTTTTAATCTCCATCATGCTGGATTAGATTAACTCCTTGGCCAGAATAGCTCAGCCATATCTCATTGACCAAAGGCACTTTGGCAGTAAATTGCCATATTGTATCATACTATAAAGCAGGATTCATTATATCTTGAGGCTACGTAGAAAATGAGGCCACAGAAAAGGAAACCTTGTGGTCTAGGAATGTTTGGTGGCTTGTTGCTATCTCAAAACATTGTGATACACAGAGGTGCAAAAAGCCAGAGTGGTGATGTTTTTGTATCAACTGGAAAAGACCATCTGGCTCCTCACCAGCTGTCTCTTCTAGCACCAGATGTAGGGTTTCCACTTATACTCAGACTGTAAATAGAAGAAGAGCCTAGGAGGTTATCCATCCAACCTCCTTTCATTTTGTAGATGGGAGAACCAAGACCAGGGAGAGGGTGTCACTCAGCTAGGGAGCAGCAGAGTCACACCGAGAAATTAGATCTCCAGATTCCCAGTCCATTGTTCCTTTTACCACAGGATGCTCTGGTCCTTGGAAAACATGCACAGGGGATTATTTCCCATAGAGGGGAATTGGAGTTGTAATAATCAAGAACACAGACTCTGTAGACAAAGTTATTCAATTCTAATGCTACTCTAGGTGTATAAGTTTCATAACCACAGTCAAAGTACTTAACTGTTCTATTCTTCAATTTTCCCATTAACATAATGGCAATGTCAATGGTACATCCCTCAGTTTGGTAAAGGTTAAATGAGCTAGTCTGTGTTTAGCATTTAGAATCATAGTTGTCATGAGTATGAAGTGCACAGTATGAATATGTGTTATTATGATCCTAAGCAAACTGAGGAGTCCTGTATCCACTAAGTCACCTTCCTGGTTTCCACTCTTTGGAACATTCAGCTGAAGCTGAACTATGGTTGTAAACACCCTGCCCAATCAGCACTGACTGTGTGTGGCAACTGCCACATCTTCGTGACTGCTTACTTAGCATAATGTCCTCAAGGTTCATCCATGTTGTAGTATGGGACAGGATTGCCTTCTATTCAATATTTCATGGTGTATATGTACCACATTTTTTAAAACATATATATCTGTCAGTGGGCATCTGGTTTGCTTTCTCCCTACCTCTTGACTATTGTGAATAATGTCAATATGAACATATGTATGCAACTGTCTCTCTGACATCCTGCTCTAAATTCTTTGAGATATATTCCCAAAAGTGGGGTTACTGAGTTATCTGGTGATTTTATTTTTAATATTTTGAGGGCTTATCATAGTGGCCGCACCATTTTACCTTCTTGCCAACAGTGTACAAGGGTCCACATTTCTTCACATCCTCATCAACACTTATGGTTTTATTTATTTTCTTAATAGTAGCCATCCTAATTAGCTACAAGGTTGTTACTCATTGAGGTTTTGTGTGGTTGTTTTCTTTTTAATTACAGTTGACATTCAATATTGTGTTATATTAGTTTCATGTGTACAGCATAGTGATTAGACATTTAAAGAAACATATGGGTTTTAAAAATCTACATTGCTCATTTTCTTATAAACTTATTTAAAAATCTAAATTATCCATCATTTTTCAGAAGACAATATAGAAAATTACCTTGAAATTTAACTTGGGTATTTTCCAACTCAGTAGATCCTACAGGCCAGTGTGGTTCCTTAGGATGTATGTTTGAATTGATGGAAGCCCCAGAGTCAGGCTACTTTCCATAAATATTTATGGAGCCTCCACAGAGATTGTAGCACGGAGCTAGAGCCTTTATCCTGCCCTTGTCTATAAATACTCTGTAAAAAAATGCAGAGAAACATGAGCCAGACTCTCCAGCTATCATGTAAAAATGAATTATTTGTCAATAAGAGAATTATGTACATTGTAAATCAGAGGAAGGAAAGTTATCCATGCTAAAATCCCTGAAGTTGGAACAGCTGAATGCTCACTGCTGAAGTGAGAGAACTAGAGTTTACTAAGCAAAGGTTAGCATCAGTCCCTTCCTGGGCGGGACACAGATCCACACCATCAGGCTGATAAGCCAAATGATTGGGTCCTGACTGAGAAGACCCTGCACCATTTCTGCTTTTTAACAGCAGCCACACTCATTTCCAATAAGGCAATTTACTTCTAAAAAGGCAGTGTAGTCTTGGCTTGAAAGGTAGAAGAGGCATGCTTGTCTTGCCAGAAGCTCCTCTTTATCATAGGCCCTATAGGGTTATGTCTTGATAGCTTCTAATCCCTTGGCTTGTACTTGTTCTTGCTTTGCCTGGGATACTCTCTGCCTGCTAGCTACTGGTCTTAATTAAGGGCCTGAATTCTCATCGCTGCAAAGTAAAGGTAATGGAGGAGCCCAGAGACAGAGTTAGACACAGACCCATCTGCCCTGGGCCATTTGAACAGTCTAGGACAATCCCACTTCACGTGGTTTGTCCTCTCAAGGATAGCAGATGAAAGGAGAGGGCTACCAGCACTTGTGATTCTATGGTCTTATTCAGCGGGATGTGAATGACTCACTAGGGCTGTGTAAAGGGCCAGAGGAGAGAAGGAAGAAAGAAAGAGGTACAGAGAGAACTCCTTCAGGCCGAATCAGTAGGCGGCAGTTTGGACTTAAAAGGCTGAGTCTTTTTTGTTCCTTTTGGAGAGGCACCACTGACTGATGGGATAAACCCAAGAATCACCTTTAAAACTCTTGAGTTTTCTTCCTCAGCCACTTCAGGAGGAGCCTCCACAATACCTAAGTCACACAGGATGAGAAGTCTGCCACATCCACACCTACACTCCTGTTGCTCACAAAATGTTACTTCCCCTGCCCTGCCTGCTTCTCTCCACTCTGGATCCTCTCCTGCCCCCAGTGGCTATCCTTTCCACTCTCATCCGTCCAGGATGCTAGCTCCACAGACAGACACGATTAGAGGCGCTGCTTATGAAATGGCCACGTGGTCCTGCCATACCATTTAGCCCTGTCTGCAGCCCATAGGCCTGACTATCATTTCCCTCCTCCACCCCTGTGTTGTAACTTCTATCATGCAGAGCAGGCTATTGTGGTCAAGGCATCCCACTGATGTGCCTCTTCGAGTTTCTAAATACTTACTCCCCATGGCACTTCCCAGTTGTCCAGACTTAGAAGGGTCAGTGGTGGGAGTGAAAGGTGGGGAAATGGTCACAGAGAAGCATGTCTGTGTATTTGCTCATTGATACATAATGGTACCTTTAGGTGCATGCTAATGGCTCTGTCTCTCTTTCCCCTACACAGGGCCTGGAGCAGTCATTGATGGTGTAAACTCGGCCTCTAGAGCGCTGGCTTGTCTCTGGCTATCAGGGACCCTCTTTGCCCACTTCTTCATCAAGTTTTGATGAGAAACCATAGGTTCTCTGAGCAACGTCTGCTTCTCCATATCACAGACTTTAATCTACACTGCGGAGGGCAAACCAGTTTGGGCTTCTTTTTGTTTCTTTGTTTCTGATATTCTTCTTGATTTTTTTAATTTTGGGGTTTTGTTTGTTTATTTGATTTTTTCAAGTTTAAATGAGTGGGGTTGGGGGAGGGGTGGGCAGGGTTCTACCATGTGTAGGATAATCATTCATTGGTGTGTCCAAAAGTGGAATATGTTCCTGCTAGCTTGGCCCTTCCCTCCCCTCTGCTTCCCTCCTCCTCATCATCATCACTGACCTCTCCTCTCCCATACACCAAAACATGAGCTCCATTTGGGCAAAAAATGTGCCTCATGATAAACACCCTGAAGACACAACTTGACTTATAATGTAGTGCACAGCAAGAGTTATATCCAAGTGTCCTATTATCTGTGTCTTTTAAGCTTTGGACAATTTTCCTGACTATAATGTACATATATCCTTCTCTCCATGTTTATTATTATCTAATTACATTAGGGTTCACATCCTTTCTTTCTGGGAAGTTATCTCAATGTGTGTGTGTGTGTGTGTGTGTCACACACACACACACATGCGTATATAGTCTTGCCCTATTTGCATTTATCACCAGCTACAGGGATTATTACAGGTTTGGGGATATTTATTCAACCCAACATTAAAAATTTAGAAGTCAAATGACCAAAAAGGGGGGAGGCATTTTGAGGATAGCATTTCTCTTTAAAAAAAAATGTTGTGTAATGTACAAAAAATGATTTCTAGATGGCTGAATATTTAGGTTTTATCAAGCTATCTATCAAAGAAATCATATAGTTATCCATCTACTCAATTGTCTGATTCATCTCCCCATTCAATTATCTACCCACACATCTTCCTCTCTAGCAGTCTATTTACTCTATTTGTCAATCTATCAGTGTAATTATCTAACACTTCTTTCTATTTCTTTCCCCACTACTCACCATCAATTCATCACCATATTAATAACTAGTCATATTGTGTCTATTCAATTGTACTCATTTCTCCTCTACCTTCAACAGACATTGGCATCTTCAAAATTACCTATCAGCTTCCCATGTGAAAGCCAATGATCTCACAGGCTAACAGCATAGAAAGAAATATGTCATGGACTCTTTGGAATGTGGTGGCCCATCCACCCAAAGCAGATGCTGATAACAGATGGACCAAAGTGGGATTTTAATGACCAGTCACTCACTCTTCCCAGAAGAGACTGTGTTTCCAAAACCATCTTCTCAGGAAGCAGGTTGACCCTGGAGAAGCCTTGATAGGTACTGTGTTTTCCTTCTTCACTCTTGAAGGACTAAGGTTTCTTTCAGCCTTTCAGTGTATGTTGGGAACCTATGGGATTTACCCCCATGGATGGCTTTTCTTTATAGCAAAAACATAAAGGAAGAAATACACTTCGGTCTGTGGAGTGCAAAGAGGGCAGTCCACTTGTCTGAGTGCAACGACTTCAGCTATTGTCTCCTCTCTGCTCTGGTTTTAGCTTCATCTGTTTGAAAACTACCCAGTAAAAAAGCTGATGAAGCCAATTATGTGGTGGGTGTGTTGACAACTCTGGTATTTGTTTCAGGAAGCTCTTCTGAGCTGAGGAGGGCACTTGAGCAACTGACTTAATTTCCAAGCACTTGATTAACACAACACTGCAAAGAGGAGGGGAAAAGTGTAAGTGACACACATTTCCTTTGATACAGCTTTTCTGCACTGGCCTGGAGGAAGAATGTCTTCATTTCTTCATATTCAAAGCAGACCCAGCATATGACATTTCTGCATTATCTCCTGGGACAACAAGGATTCAGCCAGCAGGGTACCTACCAGTGAACCAGTGGAAGGTCACTGGAAACGGCACAATGCTGTGCTCCTCCTTACCTATGCTGCAGGGACTGACCTACTGAGAGGATGAGAAAGAAGCATCCACAAAGACTGTCTCACAGACCTGCTCTCCCTCAATGGAAAACTCTTTCAGGAAAATAATACATAATAAATAGGTGTGTGGAGACTATATATACACACACACACACACATATATATACACGTGTGTGTGTGTGTGTGTGTGTGTGTGTGTGTATGCCTTGGCATACTAAAAGCTGTACTTTCGTAGGAGGTAGAGATGGTGCAAGTGAAATTAATATTACATTTACCAGCTGTAAACAGACATCTGCATTTCCTAGTGAGCCACCAGGAGCCAGAATCTGGGAACATAAATGATGGGCCAAAAGCACTGTATCGATTCCAAGTTCCAGGGCCAATTATGAGCAGGCATCAAGTCATAATTAAAAGTCGGACACCAGTGTTTCCTATCTGTCACCACATTCAGCACCTGGAATCGGGTTGGTGTCAGACACTGTATGCAAATTAAATGCATCATTGGAGTGCTCTACTGATAGCAAATGTGCCACTTTGGAGTAAAATAAATGTGGAGGCACTGGGTGGTGCTGGTGATTCTGGAGAACAGGGATCTTGAAATGGACAAGCTGTAAATGTCCTTCACTGTAAGAGTCATTCCAGAGGAAGGGGGCCATCCCTCGGGGCAGGAAGATCACCAGCACCTTTGGAACATAGCAAGGCTGGTCTCAGAGCCACTGTGAAACTCACATGCCCTCTTTTATTGGATATTGAAGCACCTCTGGGAGTTGCCTCCCCCAGCCACATCCTGCAGGGGGAAACCTACAGCTAATCCTCATCTGTCTGTGATAAAGAAAACCAAATAAGTAAGACCCAAGGAAACTGGGTCCTGGGAAAGAAAATTGCTCTTCCTCACAGCAGATGTACCCCAGCCTCTGTGTTGTTCAGGTTACTTTGGCGGGGATGGCTCTACATGACAGTAGCTCTTCCCCAGCATTTTGAAGCATACAGAACAGTAAATGCTCACTAAAGACAATATCCACACTTCCACCTGCTCTTTCAACTTTACCTATGGAGGGTATGTGGATGAAGCCTGCTGGATAGATTTTTTTCAAGGTGTTATAGTGGGAGTGAAGCTAAGGGTAAAGGAGGGAAAAATAAACAAGTTCCTCAGCAACTGAGAGCTCATTACGGGTTTTCCATGGGAAGAAAACCAATAGTGCTTATCGGGAGAGAGGAATTCAGCAGTGCAGCTACTGTGAAACCTTCCCCTTCCCAAAGCAAAGTTAATATGGACTTCCACCAAAGTAACGCCAGTGAAAGAAAAGTGCTAGTGCTCAGACGGTGGCCAAGCCTGTTTTTCAGAAGTTTAATGTCAAGTGCCTGATAGAGTCATCTGCGAGTCTAAGCAAGTGCGTGTAGTTTTTCTCATTCTTGTTTTAACCGGGGGAGATGAGACACACAAGAGAATGGGGTGAAAACACGCATGTATTTTATGCAAAGAACATCATGCAAGGTTGTTCTGCTGCAATTGTGTATAAATGAATAGAAGGAAAGCTAAGGTATCAAAAAGAGGCCTGGGCCTCTTGCCTCTGAAACCAGTGCCTCATACTAGATAATATGGGGGTGGAAAGTGTGCTCTGCGACTCCAGAAACTCCACAACCAAGGATGAGTTTAAGGATCTGTTGCTGCGTGGATCAAGTTACCTTACGCTCCACACGGAGGAATTAACAAGTTCCACCTATGTCAGAAGAACTCTTATGTGGAAAGTGTAAGAACCTCAAGGTGGGCAGTGGATCCCAAAGAGAGCTTATCACTGTCGCTGCATCAAGAGTGGCTGCACACCGAATAACCTGTTTTTTGCCGGGGCCTTCCAGAACCCCTGAGATCGTCTTCTCCTCTGTAGTTGTGTGAGAATGCAGTCAGCCCTATCAGTAGAAGGATGAGAGAAATGGCTCAAGGTGAGGAGAGATAGGGGGTGGGGTCGTCTCTCCCAATTTCCCTCTGTGTCTTCAGCAGAGAAAGACTGGCTTTGCAATACCTACACACAGCCCTCCATACCTGCCCGCCACCACCCCCTTTTAAAAATCCACACATTTTTATTTTCTAAAGGCAAAGTTTAATCGTTTTGGAATTAAGGGAAGCAGCATAAAATTACTCTTCTCAGAAACATGCATTTTTACTTTTTTGGTCCAGTAAGGAGAATCTTTCCTGTCACTTTGCACAAGATCTATCTTTAGAAATGCCTATACTTTAATTGCCTCCTCTCCTACTATCCAAAGTTTCCCTGTCTTTTTCTTTTAAGACAAATGAGTTTGAGCAGTTGCAGTAACACTTCACAGGTGTGTAAGTAGGAAGATATCATTTTCGAAAAGATGCTATATGATGAGAACTCCTAGTGATCACTAAAAGTAAACAAATAAAAATGCCAGTCTCATTTCCCTCATTTCTTATTTAATAGAAGAGAAGTAAATGAAAGGAAGAAGAAATAGATTTGCAATTAAAAGATGTGGCAAAAAGAGCTGAACGAGTGCAATTTAGCCTTCAGGTGCAGAATAATGGGAGTCCAAAGGAATGTGGAGTGGACTTAATTAGACACAATTGTCTTCATCCTGAAAGTAGCCAGCTAAACCTAATTTCCAGCCTTTTGAGAGATTCCTTTTTGTTTCTTTCAAGGGTGCCCTTTTAAAGGCACATGGTTATTCCAGTTGTTCCACACCACTGAGTGCAGAAAGAAAGATTGTGAACCTTTTACTATTCTGTCTCGACCACATTCTCTGCTATCAGCAGATTTATAAGGATATCAATAATAGCAATGATAAGTAATAATAGCTGCCTTGCATTAGTTAGAGGGAGCATTTTTAATCCTACAAAAATTTTTGTGACATGTAAAGTGCAGTTGTGAGGAATGTGTGCGTGTATGAAAATGTATATGTCAAGTTCAGAGTCCTCTGGATTAAAAACAATTATGACTTATCAATGGTGCCGTCATAGCTGTGTCAGACGATGGGTGGGCCCATTCTCACAATTACCCTTCAAACAAATCTATGTTCAAATGCTTTAAAAATTTACCACATGATTGAAGAGTATAACTTTGTCGGCCTCCTAGAGTTTTTATTCTTTAATTTTTTTCCAATTTTTTTTCCTTAAAAATCAATGAAGACTTGATTTCTGTCAATAATTGTATTAAGGGTGAATATACTACCTGAATTCTGTGCATGTTACATTGTAGTTGTAACCTTTTCTAATTCAGGATGAATACGAGATGGTCGTGATTGTGCAGTGTATCAATAAAGTTCAAAGAAATTTGTAATTTTGGGGGGGGGCTTTTTATTAGGATATATCACTGAGTATTCAGGAATGGAGAAAAGTGAGGGGGACTATGCTTCTCCTGTATATGTGTTTTAGGCTTTGGGGAGTAGATGCAATCAGATATGCTACTCTCTCTCTCTCTCTCTCTCTCTCTCTCTCACACACACACACACACACACACAGCATAGAAGGCAGTCTAAGCACTTTCTATAGTACACCTGTTATCAAATGTCTATGCCATTTACAAATAATATAAAATCTACCTGCAGCCTCAAAGCATAAAAAATGTATTGCTTGACCTAGGCTCAATGGAATCAGAAGAGCAGTTTCAGGAAAATAATGACAGATGCTCCTCAGTTTGAAACTCTATTCTTTAATGATTTCTGCAGTTTGATTCCACTGAATTAAGCGCAACTGCGACAAAAGTATGAGAAGATAAAGTGACTATGATGCCCATTTATTCACAGAAGTATATGCCATTTTTAAATTGTCCTCCATCTTAGGTTTTACAGTAGTGTACTTTGCAGATATTCTCATGAAAAAGAGACATGGAGAAGAAGCTCCACTTCTATGATTACTTTTTCTAAAACACCTTTCTCTTTCACCAAAACTCCAACATCCCTCCCCTCATCACCCACACACCTGCTGTTCTGAAGGGACCTCTTCTATGCACCCACCTTCGCATCAAACATTTGTATATCAAATAGCCCTTCTGCCATTAACTAAATATGTGCTCTTGGACTGGGCGTTGAATCTGTCCAGTGTCCATTTCCTCCTCTGTACCATTTTTGAGTTCACACTTCTCAGTGTGTTTTAGTTCTCAATTATCTAGGTAGTTTTTTTCTCTTTCAACCACTGGGTCTCTCAAGACTCTCCTCAAATAAAGCTTAAAACCGGTGGCTGGTTGTGGTTTGGGAATTCAGCAGGAAGAGGGTTGAGATTCTTCAGCTGATGTTACAGTATGGCTAGTACCTCTGGCCAAGACCCTGAGTTTGAGTTATGAGGCTTGTTTCTTCTTGGCTTTCTAGGCAGACAAGGGCCAATCCTGACCTTTCAAGACTCTGTCTCCTTTGAAGAGAATGGGATGCAGATTTGTAACTTGATAAACTAAATCAAGTTCTCGACAAACTAGATCATGTTCTTTGAAAAGTAAAATACTAAGGTAATGGTAGACACCAATGATTGAGTTTCCAGTTTCCTCAGGCTCATTATAAAATCATGACTTGTCAAGGAAACAGATTGCTGGGCCTTTTAACTGTCTTAATACCTGTAGCACTCCTTCTCCCTTCTCCTTTTATTAATCCTTTTAACCATCCTCTTCCCACCCAGACCTGACCCTCTCCTGTTCCTGCTCATACATGCTGAAACCCTTACCCGTCACTCTGTTCTCCAGCTGGCACAGACATTTATTGGTCTTTCCAGACTCCATCTGGCCCTTCAGCTCCATCAATCATCAATGTACCAATTTATTTCTCCATCAGCTAACCACTCACCTATTCATTCACATATTATGTCCCCCATTTATCTAACCCTTATTCCATCTATACACTCATGCACCTCCCTAATGTGACTGTTCCCATCTACTTATCGAAACCATCTATCCATTCCTCACCTGTCAATCCAGCTACCAATCATCCTCCAGCTAGCCTTTGGCAGGCATGCCTACTTACCAAGACCCTTCAATGTAATGAAAATCTTTGCTGTTATCTTTCAATTCCACAAGGGAGGCTTTATCTAGTTATGCTTAAGCATGGCAGCCAAACAGTTGGATTCATTTCTTTTTGTTATTTTTGCCCAAATACACCATATTAAGAACTTAAACATAAAGGAATTCTTTAGGGGATGCATTCAAGGCATTCTTGTTGCTATCAACATGCATCACAGTTTCAAGAGGATGG